TTGTTTGCAGAAGGCCACAAGTCTCTTTTTAATCACTCTGTCTCCCAAGAAATAGTCTTATGTTTCCTTGTCAGTTATTCTGCATCTTTTTAGAGACAACTTCTGTCTTTGTAGCTGAATTTGTGAGTCACTTTGGGTCTCGGTCATCATTTTGTGTCTCTTTGTAGTTGTTTACCCTCAATTTATAAATGCTCCTTTAAGGAAAAGGTGTGTGACTACCAGCTTAAATAGTGTCTTTGTGCTTCCTTGTAAGTCAAATCACATTTTTTTGCAGGGATTTCATGTCTATGGATGTTTTGTCTAAATTTGTAAGTTGCTTCTGCACTTTTTGTCACCATTTGGTGTGTCTTTGTTGTTGTTTTGTATCTCTTTGTGGTTGTTCTTCCTGGTTTCGTACCTCTTTTTAGTTGTTCTGTCTCTTCAGTTGCTGCTTTGCATTTCCTTGTAAGTCATTTCACATCTTTCAGTCGGTGATTTATGTCTTTGCAGCTGTTTTGTCTACACTTTTTCACACCACTTTGGGTGTCTTTGTCAGCTTTTTGCTTTACTTCTAAGTTGACTTTCCAACAACAAATCTTACCAGTGAGTTCATACAGAGGTTCTGGTCCAGGTTCTCCTTGGGCCTGTTCAGGAATCCATCCATTCACTGGTCTCCACATGCAAAAACAAAAAGAAACAGAAAGGAGATGTGTTAGAAAGAGTAAGGTTTCCCTCTTGTGGTCAAATGTGGAAGTGCATCTAAGAAAACTCAGCTCTATCTATCTATCTATCTATCTATCTATCTATCTATCTATCTATCTATCTATCTATCTATCTATCTATCTATCTATCTATCTATCTATCTCACAAAGAAACACTACAAATTACACATTTGGCTCAAGGCTCTCCATGTTCTATTACGGCTGACTGTAAGACTGTGTCACTGTTTAAGAGTGAACAGTTACATAATGCTGTTTAACGGATATAATGCTGTAATGTACATTATGTAAGCTGTAGAAGAAGAAAAAAAATGTGTCATTCAGACCGCACAAATAGGTATGGAATGCAGTTTTATTCTATATTACATAATTAAATAAATATGGCAGTGAAATAAATCCTTAACAAATAAATATTTATTACCTCATCATCGTATTTATTCATGTCACAGGAACGTTAATTTATTTATGATATTTTAAATTGTATTTAATATTGAAGAAAATGTCGTTAGATGTTCAGGCCACACCATCAGCTGTCTCATGTCTTTTTTATATCGGTGATGATAGTTACTGATTTATAGATGACTATTCAATGTGTCTTAGTCTGCGTCTGCTGTAAGGTTTAAAAAACAAACAAAAAAAACGTTTGTTCAGGATAATCACAAGTGCTGACAACAAGAGTTAAAATCAATGCATGAGCTCAGATCTTTTAGCTTTAAAACAAGGACACAAAATGTCTAAAAATGTCTCAATGTCCTCCAAAACCATATAAACATGGCGCCTGAACAAAAGCGCTGAAAGACGATGTCCGCTGAGCCACATGTAGCGTAGATGTGAACCTTCCAACAGACGATACAATGGATTCATCACAGTAGCAAAAGCACAGGTGTATCAATGATGGCCGCATTCCATTCAGAGGAGCTCCTGCTTTTGTGTGTCACCGTCATGGGACACTAAATGGAACTCTGCTGCTGTGATGAGCCAAAATGTCTGCTGTGAAAAAGTCAAATTGGAGGCATTCTCATATTTGTGTGTACTGCATGCTGCCCTTGTAAACAAACAATAAACACATGGCGTCTACCACAAAGCAAACATTAAATATGAGTATAGAGGGACACTTTGTCATATTAAAGGATTCAGTGCATTTTCCCAGACAACACCAACACGTACTTCAACATACACACCATGTAGCTGTGGCCCGTGTGTCCAGTTGCTGCCATCAGCACATGAATGTGCCACATTTTCCCAGCATCCCTGATGTTTGAGTCTGAGTCATTTGCCTCCTTGTTATGCCAGTGTTAAGTCCGCCCACCGGTCATCTCGCAGTCTATGAGGCATCTGCAGAGCACAAACATTCATCGCATCAATGAGAGCTGCGTTTCGAACAAAAGACGAGGGTATTTTCAGCCTGAGCCAAAACAACAGTCTGTTTGGTGCATGTGAGGTTATTCAGGTTTTTAGATGGAACCTGCGAGGAGCTGAATAGAGCCAAGTATGTCACAGTAAAAGGAGCTTTTCAAGACCATTCGTGGAACTGGGTTTGAATGGTTAATGCCATTGTGAGATGGATATGAATCTGCTATATGCACTTTTCACTAAAGAAAACCAGAAACACTGAGATCTATAATCTTATTCATCCATTTACTTGTAAGTCGTAAGTTTGAAGGCCACCGCTCAAATATCCTCGATTTGTGTCACTTAAATGATCAGATTTGATGCTTAAAGCCCCCTCAGGGTAAACATTTCATACTAATGTGTCTGTCATTTCCAGGCAGCGGGGGTTAGTTTCTTTGTCCACTCAATTACCTCTAAATGTGAATGTGCTCTGACCATGAATTACAGCTGTGTGTGGGAAGATGGATGGAGGCAGCCAGAGGCTATGAAAGAGAAAGACAGGCAGGTATGTGGGGGGAGGAGGTGCTGATGGGAAAAACAAGAGTGTAAAACAGCAGTGAAGGTTTGGTTGGAAAAGCAGACAGGTCTCTGACGCACTTCTGTTTAAAGTGTGAGTGAATGTGAGTCCATTATGATACATCTTGCTTTTAACATCATTCAGAGTGTCTGTGAAACAGGCGTGCTCTGATTCCTTCTTATTCATTTCCCTTATTTAAACTTTCTCACTCACCAAACAGAGCTGCAAGCAGGAGAAGGAACTTCTGAGCTTCAGAATGATGAGGAACCGATGACCATCAGAGGAGGAACGTCTTCCAGTTAACTCCAAAGAGTTTCTTGTTTCATCCACTTTGACCTCAGTCTGTCTCCAGGAATTATTCATAAGTCACTTGTCCTTTAATTTGTCTGCTTTCTCGGCTCTGCTGGCTCTGCGAGCTCTTGTTTCTACAGATTTCCACTTGCAGACATCACGTAACTGCAGCACGTTACACAAGCCTACTCGTGCTGTTTTTATCAATGACAAAACAAAGGCCCAAGGCATAAACAAAACATCTCTGCTGAGGGTCATATTGTAGGCTGTACTGTCATCGCTGTTTCTGCCAGAAAACATCAAATCTGTCATTTTTCCTGTGATTACATGACATTGTAATGTATACCATTACATCAGCCCTGATCGTGATACATAACCTGTAGACTGGAGCGGTGAGTTTCTTCATCCACCTTCTGCTTGTCGTCATGAACCAGCAGCACTGACTGACAGTCTGATGCTCAGTCCTATTAACAGGTTGAATACATTTAAATATGGCCGTTACGGCACATTGTTGGACGCCACTAGCTGGTGATTCATCAACTGGTTCCACAACGCAAAACTATTGTTAATTAGTGGGGACGTAGTTAATTCTCTATATTACATGGGGGACTTACAAGAGACACACTTTGAGGGCGAATGGTCAAAATGAACGCTACACGGGTCACGATATCCTGACTTTGAGTCGCTAATTATGGGACTAACCTACAAATATCTGCATCCTATGCCATAAAAAAACAGAGAATATCTGGCCAGAAAAAATACATAAAAACCTGTAATGTTCAAAAACTGTAAAAACAAACAAACAAACCAAAATAACAGCAAACAAATTTGTAAACTAACAGGGTTAGATTTTTTTAGCTAATCTTAATATGCTGAAATACTGCAGTTATATGGTCACATCGCATGGTCAAATGTTGACAAACAGGGAGGAAAAAAACTATTAAAAAACTACTATTTGTAGTTTTACAGATGTCTGATGTGATCATTATTTGGCCTGTTATTAATGGTTAATGTGTAAATATTTTTTTCCATGTTTTTACCAGTTTCTACCTGTAATTTAACACAACAGGGAAAAATTAAAAATAACAGTAATTAAGAAGATTACAGTTATAAACTGTTTTTTGTTTTTAAATGATTGTTTTAAGCAGTATACATTTTTTATTATGCAGCTTTATCTCTGCATTACATCGCTCCTGACTGGCAAATGCCAACGATTTTCGGACTCCAACCACCAGTTCAGTGCAGAAAAGAGTTTAAAACAGATTAACTTTTTCAAATGTGCGGTTTTGAGTGCAGGACAAGTTGAGATAGTCCTGGTGACATATTAGGGGTTTTTTACGTATTGGTTAATTCTCTAGTATTTTGACATTTTATGTGATGGGAAAAAAAAGAAAAATCCACAGAATGTCCCTTTAATAATATTACTTACATACAATCTAAACAAATACATGTTGTGTTTGTCACTAGGATTTCTGAAGAATGTATTTTTGTGGCAAAACTGACACAACTGGAGTGTAGCATCAGTTTTTCACACCGATGAGGGATGAGCAGCCAAATGTGTGTCCGGGTGATGCAGTCATACGGGCCAACAGCACAACGCTACAGCGACTGATGTCATGGTTACGTGGTTTGCGCTCTGAGCGAAGGTCTCACACACTTGTTGCTATGCACTGTTTCTCATCTATTCAGCGTAAACACACAATAACCAAACAATATAGCCATAGTAGACCTGCAGCTTTCACCCATGAATACTGAAGCCTACACAGTCTCGTCTTGTCTCCTGTTATTCACCCATTGATTCGTCATCTCACACCTTATAGATTTCTGATGTCCTCTTCTATTGTATGTTTTGATTTGCCACCTTTGCTTGATTTTCACATAATGTAAATGTACAACTGGCAAAACTTGTATCCATAATCAAGTAATAAATAAACATATTTACTTGATAATGGATACTGAATGTCTCAAAGTCTTAACCTTTTTTGAAACAGCAAGTCCTCCTTCACAGTGGTCCTCAAAACACCATCTATTTGGTTCATTGTGTATCTAAAGCGTGACTTGAAATACCAGGAACTAAAATGAAAACCAGAGCTGCATCCAACAATTATTAGTTTTTTAATTAGGTAATTAGTTCCTTTTAGCAATTTACCAAGTCCGAGGTGACTTCCTTCAATCCAGTCTGAAGCTCAAAGAGAAGTTTGATTCACAGTCATATAAAACAGGAACAAAATCAAAGCACGCAGGCTAAAATCTTTTCAGCTTTGTTTCACAAAGAAAATAACTAAAAGTAACACTAAAGATCATCGTCACAAGTGCAAAGTTGAATTCATAACCAACAGAAAACACCCATGCTTGATTTAATGCTCTGAAATGTTTGCTGCTTCAGTAACCTTTAATCTGATAGGACCATTAGCATATGACAGCTAACATTAGCTTGTGTTGCTAAACTTCAGATAGATTTTGTTGTACAACTGATGTTAAAAGTCAAAAGTACTAATAGGAATGATTTGTTATTTGGGAAATTGACCCTTTTTGCTGAGAGTTAGATGTCAGTGTCATGTTTTTGCAGTGAATATGATTAAAGATAGCACCAGACGTTAGTTAGCTTAGCACAAAGGCGCATTCAAAATACTCCAAGTTGTCTTTTTCTTTAATTTGTCTGTATACCATGCTAATTAGTGAGCTTTTCAGGTGCTGGTAGAAATATTTTGTTACCTCTGAACAGAGCCAGGTTAGCTAACTACCCCCTTTTAAACTCTTTATGCTAAGCTAAGTTAGCTGGCTGCTTGCAGTAGCTTCATACTCTTTGGACAAACAATGGAGGAGAACGAGTACAATCTCGTGAAAATATTGAAGGAAATGGTTAGTAAATTTTAACACATGTCCTTTAATATGAAGCTACAGCTATTGGCCAGTTAGCTTAGCTTAGCATAAAGACTGGAAACAGAGGGGGAAATTTAGAAGAGAAAAATTTAAACAAGTTTTAACCTTTAGAAAACTCTCTTTAACACCTAACAAAGCTAACTCCAGGTGTGAGAGCATTTATCTTTTCATCCAGCTTTAGGTACATATTCTTTGACTATATTCCTTTAATTCTCAAACTATTGCGGACTGACACCCTGTCCATTAACTGATCAATCATTCAGCTAACGTTTTCAGCACAATGAGGGCCAGTGACAAAGTAAAAAGCCACAGGGTAATAAGTCAACAATTAATTTTTTATTTAATCGAGTTTATACGATTTTGGTTCTGTAGCAACCTACTGGATATTTCTAATGAAGTGCAATTGTACTCAAGCCGGTTACAGTTGAGAGCAATGACAGGCACACGTTTTGTGCAAATTTAACAGCATTGGAACGGCTCCTACATATACACAGCAAAAATACATGCCAGAGGAAAAAAACGATACTAAATCAGTTTACATCGACAATAATTAGGAAGACATCCCTCGGGAAAAAAACAAAAAAACGTCAATCCAAGCTAACACTTTGAGAGATACACATTTCGCCCATAGCTGACATATGGGAGCGAACAACTGAGTAAACATTCAGTCTTGATGCGAGAAATGTGTGGTGTTATCCAGCTCCACGGACTAAAACCCTCCTCAATCTGTCCTCCAAAACAACACATTAAATCAGAATCCAAACATCGTGCATTGCCATTTCAAACGAATTATACCGACATTACAAAATGAAAAATCTGTGATAAGACAAGGAGATAAGTCCCAACTCCAAACGCTTGGTCTTTTCCTGCATGTCTGGCAGTACGCTGGCAATGCAAAACTAAAGGTTGGGGGGAGAGGGGGGCAATGCAACTTGAAAAGTATCACAAGCCACGTGAGACGACACAACCATCTGAAACACAAGGAGGGGGATTTGTAGCCTTGGTAGAGTTTACTGCAGATTTTTCAGCTAAAAACACCTTCCTAACGCTGCTTCATAGCAATAACTGGGACAAGACACACTTCGGCTCAGTCCGATATCTAAATACTCAAAAGTGAACGTTAAATAATGCAAATAATTTGGCTCCGGTTAAATAAACTGTGGTTTCTATCCTCCAAACATGCAGGAACACAGGATTATAAGACTGAAATCTGTGTAGGAGAGTTGGGAGATTTTGATAACCAGTCTGTCGTGTTAAAACTCCAACATTACAGGCTCGAGTCTGTGTATGTACTCGCTCTATGGTCCTTCACAGTGAAAATCTAAGCGCTGACAAGCTAAACTTCCCCCGGAAATGCTTGCACTGGCTTGTGTTGGTTCCAAAATGTCAAGTGTGTTGGATGTTGTGACATCTTTTCTGAACGCGGCTGCTAAAAATTTCACTTCAGGGGGGGATTTGCTTTAAATCCAAACTGAAAACAAGAAAAAGGGGTTTCGAATAACGTGCATCTCCAACACAACAACGCAATACCTTTAAAATCCGTAACAGCGGTAAGAAACTGAACTAATAATAAAATGTTTGCCCTATTGTTCTTTTCATGATCACGTGTTAAAATCTCGATGATGGATTGTTAATCTGGTGCACGCGGTATGATTTTTACCATCTAAACCAACGCAGTCTCATAACAGGGTCTGGCAATGCACTTCACTTGTGAAGGAAAGCAGATGCACCACTACATTCTACAGCTTTCCTCTTTATTGTACAATCAAGGGCCACATTGAAATCTTTTACAACCTAGAAGTTAACAGCATCAACAAAAACTACTTCAGTTGCATTCAAATGGCAACTATCGAAAAGTAAACTTACTGTAACATACATATTAAATAGTGTATAGTCCATGCAATTGCGCACGGCCGGTTTTGCATCGTTATGGTATGTCGTTATTAGTGTATGGGAGACATCAGCCACCAGTGCATTTCCGATTTTCGGCTCAGAGGGAGATTAAGACTCCTCAATACCCATCAGAAACTTCTCAGCCAGACTTGAAGAGCAAAATGGCCACCTGGCCCAAATAGAAGTAAATGAAATGCTTCGTCTCGTGGGTGACGTAGCTGCCGAAGTTCCTCCCGACGATGCAGTGCCAGGTGGGGTTGTACTTCTTGTCAAACTCCTGAAAAAAAAGGGTCAAAAGGAAGTGATCAGAACCTGATAAAATGACTAAACTACATATTGAGCCTTTTGCATAGGAGTTAGGACTGTGGCCGCCATTAGGATACTGAGGTCTGCAGCTAAATTTGATTTTCATTATGGATTAATCTGATTATAAATCGGACATTAAATACATTATAATGACAAACAGCCCAAGATGAACTCTGCTTTTTTTTAAATGCAACAAACAGCCTGAAACCCAAAGATTATCACGCTAAATATCAACAGAGAAAAGCAAAAAACACCAAAAATAAAACTCACATTTCCCAAATGAAGCAGGCTTTAATTGTGAAAATTTCCAAAACAGCTTGCCAACCAGCTAATCAATTATCTGACTAATCATTACACTGTATTCTCTGAGGGGGGGGAGTGTGTAGGGGTTTGCAACATGAGGAGCGTTCACAATCTGTGGCTGAAAATGCACAAACAGCTGATAATTACAGCAAATCTGCACCCAGATTCAACCTCTTTTAGATCAATAAGTGCTAAAACTTCATTGATCCCAAGCAGGGAAGTCTAGAAAAATAAATTAAACGCACATACAAGATTTACCGGAATAAATGTCAGGCGAGTTTGGATGAATATTTGCAACAGGCATGAATCTGTGTGGACTGACTGGTCACTACAAACAACATAATACATGATTTCCTTCAGATGCAAACCTTATTATTTGTGTTTTAAAGGTCTACCATTGTTTTTATGAAATGTATGTGTATTTTGTGCATTGGGAACCCACTGTTTTGACTCTAAATGGGACTAACCTTTACAAAAAGCACTGTTTGTTGTAAGTTTGGCTGATCTGGATGCTCATGTTGGGGGATGTGTGCAATATGAAAACATGTAGAGGCCTTCTCTGTGGTGTCAAGCAGCTAAAATATGTGTAACCAAGGGGGGGCTTAGGCGGGGAATTTGTGGACTTGAGGAATAAAAGAAATCCGAGTTGTGGCCTTGATCATCAGAGCCTCGTCTGCACGCTGAGCAAAAAATAGATGTGAGCACAAGAGACGGCTGTGAATGTGCACATCATGTGGATCCATCCCGTCTCACCTTCTTGATGTAGGCTGCAATGTCCTTCTCTATGTTGTACTTCTCCATGGCCTGGGTGGCACAGTCCACCGCGTCCTGCTGCATGTCCTCGGACATGTCCGCGTTCTTGATCACAGCTTTCCTGTCAGTCATGGCTGAGGAGGAGGATGAGGATGATGATGCCTGCTGAGGAAGAGAAGAGGAGGGAGGGTGAAGCACGTTCACTCCGACGTACCGCACTGAAAATTAACACCGCACGTGGTGATGGAGATGGTTTAGGCCGACAAACATCAATCAGGGGGAAAAAAAAAAAATGCACGTTTGGTTACCGCACTGATCCACACTGACAACTTGCGCTTTTACGCATTCCTGCCTTTTTTTTTTACTCTTAAACTGACCGATGACAAGAGCGTTGCATAGATTGGCTGCGAAACTTGATACAGGTGGAGTTAAATTACTTGGCAAAATCACTTTCACATAAAAGCATCTGCAAAGCAAAAGTCGCAAAATGTCTCCGGATAATTATACGCACATGGGGGGGGAAATAATAATAAAACGTTTTCTAGTGGCTCCACTAACAGTCCAAGCAGCCGAAATGCATGAAGATTTACAGTAAAACATCACCATCATGACACAAACTCGAATCAGAAATATGGCATGCAAGTCAGTGCTTATTTTATAGTAGGAAATCTGCAGCTTACCTAATCTGGAACACTTCTTTCCGTACAAAAAAAAAACTAAAAAAAATCAGTATCTCCGCCAGCCAGTGGGGAAGGTTTAGATGATGCTGCGGCTAATTGCTTTTTAAAGATTTACACAATAAGCATGTAGGTAGGTTGAGCTCTCTGCTGTGCTCCAACAGCTCCCCGCCCCTCTGCTGCATGCTGCACCCTGCCATTGGCTGGGCTGCAGCCTCCCCGTGTGTTGCAAGCGTTTTTCTCCAGCTCCTGTCTGCCGGCATCTTATTTCATCCCACAATGCATCATTCACAGTGCACGCCACTGACTGTGGGCTAAAAGGAAACGAGACCTTGGCTGTGGGTAGGTATCACTTGGCTGCGCGTAAAGGCTTTTTTCATCAGTCACCGTCACAGCTGAGACACTGGAGCTTTGACTACTGAACACGTGTGTTAGCATTGTGTGAGTTTATGCAGCAGCTGCTATGAGACAAGGGACTCGTTTCTGGCTCCACTGGCCTCAGCTTTGTGCAGCACTAGGAGGTAAACATGACACACACACACACACACACACAGGCCTATTACTCACATGTATTTACGCTTGGGTTTATGTTGTAAATAAAAACAGACTAAAATGTCCTTGTTTGAAAGTGTTTTTTTATTGAAAATGCTAAGAGAAAAAAAAAAAGATTAAGCAAAATAAAACATTACAAACTACTCCCAAATGAAACCCCTTCCCAACCTCCCCAATTTTTAATTCCTTCATACCAGGCATCTACGACTCCATCCTTTGATCCAACTTCCTGGTCCTCAGTTTCGTTTTCTTGTAAAATAAAGCCATTATCACTGAAAAACTTTAGGCAGGGGGGCCTAATCGAGAGAAAAAAAAACAAGAGTTGCTCTGGGACTCCCGTTAATTAGTTCTGAATTCAACTCTCATTTGAATCCTGGAAAAACTGCTCCCGTTTCCGAGCATCCATCCTTGCCTATCCCTTTCCTAATCGATCCACTCATCCAGCTCCAAGGATTGGGATCCACTGAGCCACTCCTCCAATCAAAACCTTGAAATACCAGGAAGAAAATCAGAGGCAGACTGTTAGAATAAAATGTCAAAATTTTTGGGCCTAATTTTTTTTTGTTGAGCACTCATGTCAGATCAAGAAAAAAAATGCCACTGAGCACAAAAATCTATCACTTCCCTGAAGTTAAAACATTTTAACCAATGAGGACATTAAAGTTAAAAGTGGGACGCTTTTGCAACAAGGCAGTGATTCAGACTTTTACATTTGACAGCAAAGATGTTACACTTACATCACAACACTTGATCTAGGACTGCTTATTTCTGTCACAGGCCAGAGTAGCATGTTAAAAACTGTATATATAACAAAGTACAGCACATATGGCTTTGTTAAATGACATGCATGACATGGCAACCGATCAAAACGTTCAATTTATGGAATATGAAGCATACCATTGCCTCGACCTGATTGCTCCTAGATGTCCTATCCTGACCATACAAATGAAATGTGCTCCACAATGGTTTTATTCCAAATCACTTTAATCCTTCTCTTCAGATGTCTAAAGGAAGACACAAGGGTAAAATACAGTTAAGCATTGGGCTCCCCGTCCAAACAGCCCACCCCACATATCCAATAAGAGAAGCTATTATGTTGTTTTTTTAAAAAAAAACAAAAACAAAAAAACAAAAACTTCAATTTTCAATACTTGCAAAAACATTGAGTGCAGCTCAAAACAACTCAACATTTTTGAAGTTCAAACACAGCACAATTTCTTATTTTGCAAAAATCGAGAGGACAGAAAGAAGGGCGAGAGAGGGAGAAAACAAAAGGACAAAGCAGCTAGAGAGGGAGAGGGGAAAGGTTGAAAGGAAGGGATGGGAGGAGGGGGGGAGGGAGGAGAGGGTACATCTACATACCAAGATCATCCACAAGGACATCGGGACAAGAAATGCAAAAATTAAAAATCAATAGCTGACATCTGGAGGAACTCATAAGAGGTAAAAACAGGAGGGTATACATCAAAAGGGCAAAACATCGGTGGTAGAAAGGTTTAGGAACGGGAGCGAGAACGGCTGTGACGAGGTGAGTAGCGGGGCGATCCTCTGCCACGACCACGGGAATTGCTGCGACTGCGGCTGGCGCTGCGACTGCGGCTCCTGCTCCGGCTGCCACGGCTGCGGGAGCGTGATCTTCCGTAACTTGGGCTGCGGGGACCATCTAATTTCACACGAATGTAAGCAGTCTCTCCCTGGCGGACACAAGAGAACTTGACATTGAAAAGACAACATTCCTGCCTGTAGTGGAAATACCATAGATGGAGAAAGAACAGAAAAAAAAAACAAAAAAAAACAAAGAAGGGCCGGGAGTTGCTCAAAACATTGTGCATTTCCTGCAGTACTCACCTCGACACAGCAAAGACACACTATCCATGACAGTTAATCAAATCAGTACACATACCTCATGGGAGCGGAATTTGGTGTTGTCCAGCTTTCGAACGGCATAGGTCATGTCCTCTTTGCGCACAAATTCTACAACTCCGGTTCCATCTCTGTAAACGTCGGCGTAGCACACGTCGCCTGCCTCACGCATGTGGTCCTTCAAGTCCTGCCAGCTGCCGCTCTGAGGGAGCCCTGGAATATACAACATTACTATGTTAGCTGACATACTGTGAACTTCCCACAAGTGTTTACGTACAAACAAGTCAACATTTACAAGAGCTATTTGTTTATCCAAATGGTAGATGCACGATTTAATGACAGGAAAATGCAAAGCAAGGGAAACTGGCTCCGAACTCAATAAAATATTTTGCCAGCTTCAATCTCAAGCCCGTTTCCTTCACATACTTCTCATGCTCCATCGTCAACTACAACATGTTCTCCTTTGGCATTAGAGGTGGAGGGGTATTACACCAGTCTACTTAGTATACATTCATTTTTACAAGATTTATTCAAGTTTTAGTGTGACCTTTTCACCAGTGGCTAGGGAAAGCAGATGAAAAGGAGCATTTAAGGACAACTCTGCCTCATTTACAACTTCAAAGTGTACATCAATCCACTTAAAAATGAGAACCAGTTCTCAATTAATATACCTGCTAAAATAAAAGTTAAATTCGAAAAAAATATTTAGCCCCATCTAACAATAACACAAAATAAAATATTACGTCTACGCTTATTTAGATGATCAATTTAGTGTATGAGTTAGAGAGAATGCAAGGACACATGCAATTCAATTTTATATGAAAACGTATTTTCTTGCTATATCCCAATGCTAATATCACATCACTGCACCTCCACCCAACTATAGCATTTAGTTTCTCAGACTTTAGGTGGATTCTTGGACTTTCATTGAAAAAAAGACAGATAAAAGGGTTTTAAATATTCTTAATGAACGTATGCACGTGCAATCCACATTTAACCTAATTTATTCTAACTATTTTACTTAAACTGGATCTCATAACTTTATCCAACATTTTTGCACGCGAGGTGGAGCTTAACAATTCAGCAATTTAAAATCTAAATTTAAACTATGCAATTCAATAAATGCATGCTGCGACTTTGGATAAGCATTATTATGCAATGTCTCTGACTCTGAAGTTACTTTTTATTATTATGACTTTATTTACTTGCTGGCAGAATGTGCTATATTTAGATGTAACTCCTGAGCCATAAATGACTGACCTGTTCCAATGTGATCGTTTGTTCATAGAAAGGTCATATCATTCATTCATTTATCCTGACACACTCGCAGCTTACATTGTCCTGTGCCATTTCAGAAAGACAATACATACATATGCAAAGCAATTTATAGCTTTAAGTTCACTTGATTGCCTTAACATATAGGGCAATTAATATTTTGATGTTTTAAAGTGTGGTCATGACCCATTAAAGTCTATTAAACTATAAATATTGACTGCAGAGTTACAAAAAAAAATGTAATTGAACTTTGTTTTTACACAGGGCATTTTCATTTATTTTTATATAATATTTATTCTATTTTTGTAGGACTTTGTGCTCTTTTGTTGCATTATGCTAATCTGCCTTTCATTGTTGTTTAACACTGATAATAAAGATCAATTCTCTCCTAGTTGCAAATCTGTCTGAAGAATCTCAAGCAGATATCTGATCCTAATTGCACAGCCCTAATGGGAAGTTCTCCAGACTTATCTTAAAGTGCCAGCAGTAGATAACCTATCATATTAGTGTTGTTGACAAATCAATGAATGACCAGAAAGCCTGCTTACCCGACACAACGACCCTGTACTCGGATCGTCTGGACGGTGGCCCGTATCTGCCTCTGGGTGCCCCGCCGATCCCGCCTCCGAAGCCGCCTCTAGAGCCCCTGCCGCTCCGAGGAAACTCCACACGCAGTCTGTAGCCGTCGTAGTCGTAACCATCACGTCCATAGACTGCATCGTCGGCGTCCCTGTTGAAAATATAGTAAATAAATAAGTACAGCTGAAACACAACCGTATAGAGGGGCTGCGAGGTTTCCTTAAACACATGCACAGGGAATGCAGCCACGGACGGAGTCAGCCATGTTAGCGGCTAGCTTGATCCCAACGTCTGCTAATCCGCCTTGCAGACACAACCTGCATAATTTGGATTTAATTTGCATAGAGATAAACTTCTCGGTGCAGACAGCACGCTGCCGCCAAGTTCATGCATGACCAGGCGTAACGCTGTGAGCGCCCGAGTTAAACTGCAAACCAGAAACGAAGCAATGTGGGTGTTCGCGTTAACAACATGGACACATGAACAACGCAGCGCAACGGGAAACACAAAGTCGCTGCTTTATAACCCATAACTACAGGAAATATGTCCACATTAGAAGCGCTATCACTGAAAACAAAGCACGTAAAGCACACAGCACGTTTCGGAACAATGTAGAGGGAGTCCAGTGAATAGTCTGAGCCCAGAGTAGCGCGTTAGCACACGAGCGAGTTAGCAACACAATGGGGCTACCGCGGGCCCAGCTAGGCTAACCGCTAGCTCCTCACCTCGGGTCCTCGAATTCAATAAAGGCGAACGGCGGCCCTCCTCTCCGGTTCTTCAGGTCGATGTCTCGGATCGTCCCGTATTTGTAGAACACGTCCTCCACATCTTTGGTACGGATGTCCGGGGGCAGGTTCCCAACGTAAATTCGGCAGTCGTTGTTCCCAGCAGGGCCTCGCACGACACCCGACATCGCGGCTAAGAGCTAACGGGAGCCTGTTGTTCGGTTAAGATTAGAAACGGGTGCTGTGGCCTCAAACAGACTACGTTCCGGGTGCCCGCAAGTCGTCGAGACGAAAGAGAGAAGCCGACCAAAGACGTGGTGGTAGGCGCTCCAACGTGTAGGATATCCAGCAGACAGACAATACCCGTGGACCAGGCGCCCACTGCTGCTGGTTTTTCTTCAGGAACCGCGCGTCTTTCCCGACGCATGAATACCAAGAGGCACCGCAGCCGGACATGACGCGTCCGCCTCACAAAGTAGTCCGTCAGCATGAGCAGCTGTCAATCAACAATCAACTTATTGTTGCGAACAACATAGCATCCACTGATGTAATGGTAAAGTCTGCTTGCAAAGGCAAATATTGTAACTGAGTTCATTTGTGAGATACTTGAGTATATCCTTCCTTAGATTTATACTCTACTACATCTAATTTAAAGCATCAATTACAAGTTAGTTTTATTATTTATACAAAATATAAATTAGCAAGCGAACCATGGTGCAGTTTAAAGCTATAGCTGCCCAGCAGATTTTTCTTATTTCTACAAAATATAATCACAAGTAAATAATCAAGTACTCCACTTCGTCTAGTTTACATCTGTAGGTACCATGTACATAGTAGATTTTGATTATTTATACAAAGTATAACAGCAGAAATGATGCACCCCAGTGCATCTAGTTTAAATATTTACTTCACAGATTTTTTACAAAATATAATCAGCAAGTAAATCTGCATGTACTCCACCACATTTACTTTAAAGCTCTCATTATGCTGTTACTACTTTTGTACCAGAACACTATTTTTTAGTAGTCTCAGGATTAAAAAGTTGTCCTATTACAGGAAGAATAGTGAGGTAAGAGAAACAATCAGTGTTTTCAGAAAAGGTTTTCAAATGTGTTTATGCAACATTAACATTTTAATGTTGCTATATTTATTGTTAATGTCAGTATAATAGGTGGAATAAGAAGCAAAAGTTCTTCAACACACATCTGGTTGAACACTATGTTTGAAATGCATGTTGTGTTTGTTTCTTGCACCATCACTTACTCTTTATGTGACATCAGGCTTCTAAATAAGTTCCTGTCTGATAAGATCTTATCTGTTCTATCACCAAAACTACACAATATTAGGCAGGTGGTTTAAATATTGTGACTGTGTATGTTATCTCTTTAAGGGGATCATTTAGATTTACAGTAGTGTGGGAAAACATTGCTGTTTTTCCATTTTCTCAGAATCAGAAACTTTTAAATGCCTTCGTACAGAACTTTTTAATGTAGTGTGTGTAGTCTGGAGGTATATCAAAAGGCAATATCAGGCTGTCTGGTGTAGTTTTGAGTTCCTGTGGGGTCACATAGCATAATCATGATCCCATTATCATCCAGGAATTGAGCAGTACTAAGCAATGAATATAAAGGAGGAGTAAATAAACTCTCACTGTCTATACAATTCTTCACAATGTGTCCATCAGTGCCTGTATAAGGAGTCTGACACCTCACAAATCCTGAAAAAACACAACATTAAAACTTTTACTGGAACACTTTTATTGTTTAAATACTTACATTCAAACTATGTTTATCAGAATATTACACAGAAAATACTACTGAGAATGAAAACACACATCACACGTGTTGTATTTTGCCCACTGACTGCACATGCAAATTAGCCTGAAGCTAATTCTCATGCAATGTTTCCATTTGTGCACGTTCATTGTTTAATACATATTTAAACCTACACATATCCACTCACTCACACACAGAAGCTTCACACAACTTGATTGTGCTTCCACATAATAAATAGGAAATCGTATCACACGTGCTCAGCAGTGTCCGCTATTTAATTAACTGTGCTCTGACATAAACTAAAGTCACTGCTCTGTAGCCAAAAGTCAACGTACTTGTATACTTCTGTGATACTAACTGCAGGGTTTTAAAGCGTTAGTCGTGCCTCTGTCACATAACACAAGTAGAACAAACATCTCTCATTCAGCACATGCATGAGAAATACCCAAAGTCATGTTCTGATTGTCCTCGATTGTCAAGGCAAGAAATCACGTTTAACATCATCATGTGTGTCGGTATTCTGAAATAATCTACATCACAAATCCTCGGCGATACATCTTGTTATGACATGGACGAATACAAGTTAAAGTGTTCAATACGCGTGACAGGAGCCATAGTTGCGCTGGCTGGCGTCGCCGTAGTTATCGTATTTCCCCTGACATGCCAGACTGTTCACCTGTGGGCAGAACAGAGAGTGAAGAGAGATACAAAGACAACGCGTTCAACAACACAATAACACGGTTTGTGTTTGTGCAGTAAATGAGAGCGTGAAGCACCTCTGCCCTCTTGATGAACTGCTCGGTGGCGGCCTTCTCGTTCTCCTTGTGTCCTCTCCAGGCTCTGAGCGCCGACGCCTGCAGGGCTCGGCCGAATGAGAATGTCAGGATCCAGGGTTTGGCCAGAGGGCAGCTGTTGATGGCATTGAGGTGGACAGAGGCCTCCTCTTCGCTCTGACCGCCCGAGAGAAAAGCCACTCCTGTGGGGGCAGCAGAAACCTGCTTTTCCTCTGTTTCTGCAGAATTCTGATTAAAATAAACCAGACTTACCTGTGACTGCTGGGGGAACAGTGCGGCGCAGGGCAGTGACGGTTGCCATAGCGACCTCCTCTGGGCTGTACTTGGTGGAGCAGCTGTGTCCACCGGTGACCATGTTGGGTTTGAGAAGGGTGCCTTCCAGGTACACGTGGTGGTCGGACATGGCCTTGTAGACTGCAGCCAGCACCTGCAGCACAGAGGCAGTGGTTTAATCAGTCATATCTGTCTCACTTTACCAACAAAGTCACACATCTGTGCACATGAAGCATGCAAGACATAAAAGAAACTCACCTTCTCAGTGATGTACTGGCAGCGTTTCAGGTCATGATCGCCATCGGGCAGGATCTCCGGCTCTATAACGGGCACGATGCCATGCTGGCAGAGAAAGGAGAGACTATCAAAACCAATGTAGATGCTTTATGTCACAAAGATGACGCTATTAAGCGATATAAGATTGAGTCCTGACCTGCTGGCAGATACTGGAGTAGCGTGCAAGAACATTTGCGTTTTCTGTGATGGCCAGTTTAGACGGATTGGTGTCACTGATCTTGAGCACACAGCGCCACTTCGCAAAGACGGCTCCATCCTTTTTATACTGAGCACAGCGCTCTGACAGTCCATCCAGACCTGTGGAGAGAAGGTGTCACATTTACTGTGATGGGGATTTCTATAGGTGAATATGAGCAGTTGTGCATAGTTGAGCTTGTCTGACCCTGAGTGGTGGTTTCTCCACAAGTTCCTGCCAGAGGAACGACGCCTTTGTCAACCTGAGGAATAAGGGACAATGATTTTAATCTCTTTTATGCTGTTTGTCATCAAGAAGTCCACCTGCTATCATACAAGCTGGTACAATGCAGTGCTTCATGTTTACGACTGAGCCACCACACCTTGATGCCAACCAGGATGCCCCTGTCCCTGATCATTTTGACAAAGGGAACGCCGTTATCAGAGTGCTGGTACAGCGTCTCGTGGAAGAAGATGACTCCTCCGATGCAGCTGTTGATGCGATCATCTGCACTGAAGAGGATCTGGCGGTACTGCCTGCGGTTCTCCTCTGTGTTCTCCACTCCGACCTGGGCCAGTCGCTTTGCCATGCTGCCTGCAGGTAATTCATCAAGTGTGATGTGCATACAAGATGTTAACACCCACAGTTTGGACTTTTTTTCTGCATGAACTTGCACCAAATGAATACACATTTAAAGTAAAGACAGAAACTGTGCTACAGACCCACAGACTCATCTGCAGCCAGGATGCCCTTCCCTGGAGAAACTATGCGTAGAGCAGTGTCATGCAGCTCCCTCTTCTGAGCCTCGGAGAGCGTTGGGGACTGGTGCGTCATGCTGACTGACTGACTGTCCGAACAGCCTCTGGTGGAAGAAGTGACCTCATGATTATTCACTCATTAGCAAAGGACAGATGCAATCCATCCATGAAGTTTAAAGCAGAAACTGTCTTCGTCTGTGTAGATTCTCAGTCATCCAGCTCACGGTAAACCTTCAGTCCAGTTGCTTTCTACTGAAGCTCCTAGAAATCATCTTCACCTTTCCCCCCATATTTTAAACTTCCCTCTCTCTTTTCTCTATCTTACATAAAATACGGAGATCTAGTTTAGGTCCTTATTGGTATTATGGGTTAAAATGAGTATGCTGGAGTAACTGCTTGCTTGACAAACATGATGCAACTGTTTGGGTCTGACAACCAACCATAAAACTTTAAATGCATCTAATTATTTTATAAAGGAAACAAAAGGTTTGATATTTTAACCTCCTCTAATTGTAAGTCTAGACATGGATCCCATTCATGTGTTTTAAAACAAAGTAAAAGGCTGCAGTGATAAGAAAAAGATACAACCAAGGCATAAAAAATTAAAAATCACATCTAACATAAACTCAACAATTTCCAAAAGAAGTCAAGTGAAGTTTCGGAACCACTGCGTGCAAAAACAAATCCATCTGAGCGTGAAATCTTCTCAAACAGATAAAATATGGAGTCAACGGAAAGCAGGTGCACAAAAATTCATTCAAGACAATTGAGGTATAAGCCTCCAAAAAAGAGAGATGAAACTTCTTACCTGAAGGTGAAATCCAAAGTGTCTCTTCCACAGATGTGATGAACACTGATGGAGCCTCTCCTGTCAGCTCTAGTTTGTATCCAGCTAAAGTGTGTCACACCTCGGAGGCCGACACCTCTGGGCGGAGCTTCTACGCCCACCTTTGCTCCACATACATTAGAAAATCCTGATGATTCATTGTTCTATTTAAATATGGAGATTCTTTTTTCGTTGTGCAGCTCTTGTATTTTCTGTCTGATGCAGCAGTTTTCACATTTCATCCATCACTTTGCTATGACTCACTCAATTCAGTGTGCACAAACATGCAGAGATGCAAATAAGTCTGCTTTAACTCTGATTATTTTTGGCTCCACGTTCGGGCTGCTTGTGAAATATTAAATCATGTATTCTGTCAGAACCCTCTACCCCTATAGCAACCTAATTTAGGCGTTCAACCACACCCCGTGGCGCGCTATTTTTATTTTAATTAGTAAAAATGTGCCCAGAGGAAGGTTTCAAGTCTCCTGATAATTCGGTCCTCACCCTGAAAAAATTCACTGGGGTGTTTCGGTCTCAGAGCAATTCATGCACTCGGTGGCTTCTCTTGTGAGCTTTAAACTGTAAAGAATGTGACGGAACGTTTCAGAAATAGAATGTCATTTTCCAGGTTCCCCTCAATGTAAATGAACACGGTGATATGGCCCAAATAGGAGGAAAAGAGGTCAGCTAAATCGAGAGTTTGACTTTTTTTTTTTTATGGGGGAATCTTTGTTTCATTTTTATGTTGCTTTTGGTAGAAAGTTCAAACAAATACTTCATATTTCAGATAAATAATATTTTGCTTTGAAATACAAAAAAAAGAAAAAATGAAATGATGTTTTTCTGTGAGTTCAGGATCAGATCTTCCAGAGTTGGTTGTGGTTGCATGAGTTTGTCAATGAGTTGCAGTTTGAGCTGCATACAGAAAATTGTATATTTTCTGTTGTGTCTTCAGTTATGTAACGCTACCGTTGGGTGGAAACAGCTCGCCAGCATTTCAGGGGACTCCTCTCTTCACTATTGTGGGTCAGTGTGCCTCTGAAACTAGATGTGGGTCACTGGACTGCCTGCCACTATACAGCCACAACACAGACATGGCGGACCTGTCTAAGACAAGGGCCTGAGAGGGAATTCAATGTCAGGAGGCAGCGGGAGCGAAGAAGAGGAGGAGGAGGAGGAGGAGGAGGAGTTGGTGCTCTTCCCATTCAGGAGATGCAGTTTTAAATAGCTGCACGTCTTCAAGAAGTACAGCAATTATACTTGGCTTCCTCCGCTGGGAGCCTCCACTTTTTTTTTTTTCCTCTGTTACCTAATTAAAAGCATTTAATGATGATACTTTATCTGGTCCTCAATTTTCAGTCCCATTACGGTTGTCCTCGATGGGTTTGTGCGCGTTCCTCTAAATAGGCCAACCCCAGGCTGAAAGTTGGCCATAATGTCCCCACGAACAACATTCGTACACCCAGTGCTGGTTTAAGATGAGCACAAAGCAGCAAATACAAGAGGAATAATTCACTAAAGTGTGGTAGAGATTTAAAAGAAACTGTTGAGCATCATGACACTGGGTTAGGTCAGTGTTCTCTGTATGTTTGATTGATGAAGGTTCTCTATCTGTGGTGACAAAAGCCTGACACCTGATATTTAATGTGTCTTTATGATGATCCATCCATCCGTTATCTATACACGGTTTAATCCTCACTAGGGTCGTGGGGGGCTGGAGTCTATCCCAGCTGACTTAGGGTGAAGGCAGGGGACACCCTGGACAGATCACCAGTCTATCACAGGGCTACACTTAGAGACAGACAACCAAGCACACTCACATTCACACCTACGGACAATTTAGAATCACCAATTAACCTCAACATGTTTTTGGACTGTGGGAGGAAGCCGGAGAACCCGGAGAGAACCCACGCTGCACGGGGAGAACATGCAAACTCCACACAGAAAGATCCCAGGTGTCCTCACCGGGACGCAAACCAGCGACCTTCTTGCTGCGAGGCAGCGATGCTAACCACCGAACCACCTTGCAGCCTTTATGATTGTTTTTTTTATTATTATTTTAAAATGCACTCAATGAAATATTACGGAACATTTCTGAGATCTGCAGGATGTTATTGTACTTTTATATCAGTGCAATCCAGCCTCTTTACGGAATCTGCTTCTGACTCTGAGTGTAAAAGTTCATTCTTGAGTTTGTAGTAAAACAATCTTACCAGAAGGTCCACTAAATCCACTAAATAGCTGCTCTGGAGCTTTTAATTGTATCACATGACCTTCCTTAGCATGCTGCTTTCATTTTTCTTTCCATTTTTAATTTTCAATGATGCCTTCAAACTTGAAACAAAAATTTGTTCTATATCTTTGGCAGGATGATATAAGACAACTCTAAAGATCTGTTCATGACATGGAGGCAGGAAGAACGGGATATGACTGAAATTTCTAGAATAGTCACTGAATGGACAGTGTTTAAGATTGTTTGAACAGCTTTAACCGACACTGACAGAAACTTGAATCATGCTCCACTTTCTTTTTCCTGAGCATTCGAATGCATTTCATAATCTTTCTCAGTAAAAACACTGAGCTCACACGTGGAAGTAGCTCAGCTGACAGAGTACAGACTGTCTCAGGTCCTTTCTTGTGCTAACAGAAGTTTGTGTATGATTAAAAGCTTCAGGAAAAGACAGTTAGTGGACTTTGAACACTTTATTATATAAGACTAAACCATTGTGCTCTAAATGTTATACATTCTTTATCTATGCTGGTTTAATGATAATGGAAAGTGAAACTGTTTTTAGCAGCTGCCTGTTATAGAAGATTAGTCCAACAGGTTAATTATTTACAAAGTCTGTTGCAGAACAAATATTACTAGCCTCAAGAAGAATTTGTATTGTTGTTGAAAAACGATAACATGTGATTTGCAACTCAATTCAATTCAAATAACTTTATTTATCCCCCAGGGGCAATTCAAAAAATATCAAAAAACAAAAAAAAATTAAAAAAGCAAACTCTTGAAGCAATGCTTAATAACTTATAATTAAATTGATTGTTTTATTTTTGCATTTTTATATATAGTATTTTATATGTAATAGTTCATGTTGATTTTTAATTAATTTTTGTAGTTTGTATTTTAAACAAATAACAATAATGCCATGTGAAACTAATCGTTTGTTCTTCTTCTACAGGTTAGATTCAGCGTCTTTAGATTTTAAAAAAGAGAAAAAAATCCCGACCAAATAAAATAAGTAATGAAAAAGAAACAGCAATAAAGATAAATGTCTGTTGGTAAGAGAAGAAAACCAACAATGTTTAGCAGAAAAATAATCCAAGTGATCTGTGTTTGTTGAAAATATCGTCTCATATACAGCAAGACACAGGAGGTTTATTTGGTGTATTCAACATAAAACACCATGGAGATGCTTTGCAATGCTGCAGACAGTAAGATTCAGTGATTACGCTGAATGAAGATGCACAGAATTATGCCAGAGTGAATCACTTTTATGATGAAACTAATGTTAAACACACCACTAAGCAACTCTTTGTGGTGATCAAAATGTAACGGTATAATACACAAGCATCGAGCGCAAGACAATATACTGTCAGGTCTTAGACCTTACTAAAAAATACATCCCAGAGGTTGGCATCTGAAACCATGTTAAAAATACTGTTAATAAACAACATTAAGGGTCAGAAGTTAAAGGCAATCCAACAACACAGATCTATTACACACCAGCAGCAATAAACAGAACAAATCTGTTGATCATTTTTGGGAAAAGGCAACTTTTAAACACTCCAAGAGGTAACACGTGTGTAGAGAAATATTCACCATCTGCAGAGTTTCTTATTTCCACTCAGTTTCAGGCTGAACTTGGTGTTCAGTTCAGTCTTAAGCTTTACAAGTCTGCTCTGCAGCTGAGCTCAGGCCCACGTTGGTTAAAGTCGGAGACAGCTCAGTGGGAGTCGAGGGCGAGTGAAGGATTTGATCGCAGTCAAAGTTTTCAAAGCTGTCCAGTGAAAGGCCTCTCGCTGATCTGGCTTCCCAGTCAGGATGAGTCCTGAGCTCCAGGATGAAGTCAACAGGCGTCTTCTGGAGGATGTACGAGTCGAACGACGAGCCGCGGAAGAAGGGTTGCATCTCGAAACAGTCCAGGTTACGAAGGCGGCTCAGCGGGTTCTTGCACAGAAGCTGCATCAAAACAGAAAAGTGTGCCAATATTGAATTCAGATTTACAACTTGTATAAATCAGAGAGAGGAGAATCAAATGTCCTGACCTCAGTGAGCAGTAGGTTCAGAGCTGAGCTGAGGGTCTTCGGCAGGACAAAAGGAAAATCTCTGACCTTCTCCAACATGCTGCTGTGGTCTGACTCCGGAGCTAACGGAAACTGCAACAGGAGAAACAGGCGTATGTGAACCAAAAAATAACCAATAACTGACACTTGACCACAGAAAGAGCTGAGAAACATCAAGTTGAGGTGCTTTTACCTCTCCTGCTACTAGTGAGAACAACATAATGCCAAGAGACCACCAGTCAGCAGCATGGCTGTATGGACCCCCGCCCAAAACTTCAGGAGCTGCTCAGACAAAACAGAAACACACAAGACGATACATCAACATAACTCAAAAACACAGCACCAGGGAGCCAAAAACAAGGAAAAGGATCCAATAACTCATAAAAATCCATCACAGGTGCATCATGTTCAGAACTGGGTCAAGAGAATCCGGAGGGAGCAAAATGCAGGTGGGGCTCTAAACAAGTTAACCGATTTACTGCAGCACACAAATTCTCTCGAGACATCGATTTCATTTACGAGATAAAAAATCTCACCCATGTATTGGATCGTCCCACATATCGTAAACGCTCGTCCTCCTCGCTTCAGGCGGCGCGAGAGTCCAAAATCAGACAAAAGGAGGTGACCTGAACGGAGGGAAAACTCGCGATTAACGTCTACTGCAGATTGTAGAAACAAAGCAGCAAATGCTTTTGCAGAACAGCCTTAAAGGTCCTTCTTTTAGGTGCATCTCTTATCGCTGGCATTTTATTTATTAGTGTACCATGTATATTTGCTGTATTATTTAAATTTATTTCCTACAAAACCTCCTGAACAACAGAGTCTTTTTGGAATATGTGTGATTTTGTGTTAGTTTGTCTGCTGCTGTAATCGGCGTGACGAGTGCCTCTTGATATTTTTCACTCTGCATGAGCAACAAAACTACTTATTTATTCCACTCTAACCTTCTCCGATGATTAAATACATCACAGTTTCTTTCATTTTTAGTCAAATCAAGTCACAGTTATTTCTATGGCACATTTAAAACAACAGACGGTGACCCAAAGTGCTTCCTAACAGAGAAATAAGATTAACATTGCAAATTTACCTGAATAATTCCAATATTAGAGTCAAGACTACAACTACTTCTACCACTTTTATATATTTATAAAAATGTAAAAACACAGACAAGCATTACCTTGATCGCTTAGAAGAATGTTCTCCATCTGAAAAGTGAGTGAAATACTCATAAATGCACATGGGTGAACATTTTATGTCATGGGAAGTGCTTTAAATGATAGAAACATACCTTTATGTCCCTATGCATGATGCCTAAGTCATGTAAGAATCCTAGAAACAACAAACAAAAGACACAAATAAAGAATATATGACACAAATGCAAGACAATATACTAACTAAAGCATGATTTCTGTGTCTTTACGAGTAAAGGATAAAGGTCAAACATCGATTACCGAGTGCGCTGCCCATCTCTGCAGCAAACAGCCGAACTTCTTCCTCCCTAAACTGACCCTTCAGTAGCCAACAAGTGTACAAGTCTCCCGTGCTGCAGTAATCGCACACTGCGGAAAACGACACACACACACACACACACACACACACACACACACAAACTTCTCAGGTCTCTGAAACCCGCAGCTGAGTTAATGCAGGTCAGTAAAATCTGAAATAAAACATCAGACGGGAGCAAACTGCAAAGAAACCAAAAGATTTGCTCATCCCACTGTCGCTGGGGAAAGGAAGAAAATCAGGGGAAAAAAGCTGAGTTACACTTTTTAACACCACTTTGTAACACAAACCTCAATAATTTGAACTGAAAAAATAAATGAACAATCTAAATTTAGTTGGTAAAAACTGGGATATGCATGCAGCAGCTGCAGTCAGAGGGCGCGAGCTTTACTCTGCGCTCTCATTAGATGGCAGTGTTCAATATCCACAGCTGAGATTTGCTCAGACTGGCCGGCTACACGGCAGTCTGGTGCACGACACTGTTGGGACCACGGGGGGAAACTTCAGGAACACAACAAGGACTAGCAGAGGAGGGGAGGGTCGAACTGTGCCATCGCTTATGTTTATTGACTCACTAATGAAGAGATGGCGCTGCGTCTGCCAGCAGTCCTGCAGATTGTGGATAAATGGGTGTTTGAGCTGCCGCTGCAACGCAACATTCAACACACACAGAGTGACAGTGAATGTAACAGAGAGAGAAGGACAGGCGGCTTCTGGTAGGGTCAGTCTGGGTCATTTCTGATCGCGGCGTTGCTCCACCGCTTCGTTTTTTTGGTCCAAAGTTGACCTGTTTTTGTTATTTGGGACCCAAAACTAAGTTCTGTAAAATATTTTGGCAGAATTTTGAGGATTTAATTTGTTTTCAGACGTGCAAAGGGTTTAACATCTCTAGAAATAAAACTCCCACGGCCAGGAAACTTGGTGAGGACACACCATTCAGTAGGTGCAAATAATTAAATGGCTCCAGCAGAGGTTAAATTTCTAATTACTGGTAACTCAAAGTGAAAAAACGAAACATTTTCAATATAAGGATGGTGTGGGGGCCCCAGAAAGATCCTGTAAGTGGATATATATGTGAATCAATCCACATTTTCTCCTAAAAACACACTCTTTGGTTAACATTTTACCAAATTCCATGGCAGTGGGAGCTAGATTTCTGAAGATACTCAGCCTACAAAATGGCTTTCTAAAAATTTCAATCAAAATATTTTACTTTTGGGTCCAAAATAACAAATTCTGTCTGAAATTCTGACACAGATTGACCCTAAATGAAACCAAAGAGTGAGGACTTGTTTAAACTGCACTGTAGACCTTAAATATCCAGGATTACTCAGACACAGACAGGTGACAAATTAAAGGGAAAAACCTGAACCCTTGACCCCCACAGTGAGGGAATCTGGTGGCTCTGTGAGTTGGGGTTTGGATTAATTTGTCCCTTTAGTAGAAGAAGTCACTAAAAATCAATACCAATTTGTTCTGAGTCATCATCTTTATCCTGTGGTGAAACATTTCTGTTCTGATGACGATGTCTCCATCTACCACCATCATCAAAAAATAAGGAAATATCTTCAGGCAGAGTAGAGTTTATTTCTCTAGTGGAATTTAGAGACTTAGAGAATCAATGCAAAGGTGCCTCAAAGCTGTTCTAGTTGCTCGACACCTTATGTCGACAGTTAATGTTGGTTTTCCTTTAATTTCTCACCCATTTGTATATATTACCAATCTGATTACTACATCTACAAATGGAGTCAG